AGCCTTATGTTTGATCATCGGCCAAGATCCTGGCGAGAGTTGCCTCTGCGGATAGCTGACTTCGGGGTACTTCATAGGAATGAGCTGTCAGGAGCACTCACAGGATTAACCCGGGTACGAAGATTCCAGCAAGATGATGCTCACATATTCTGTGCCATGGAGCAGGTATGAAACACTGGAATAAAATACTTCGAAAGAAGTGTCAAGAAAGTAAAAGAAAATAACTTGTTTCCTTTTTTTAATTTAAAGATAGAGGATGAAATAAAAGGTTGCTTGGATTTTCTACGTACAGTATATAGCGTATTTGGATTTTCTTTTAAATTGAACCTTTCTACTCGCCCAGAAAAATTCCTTGGAGATATTGAAGTATGGAATCAAGCTGAGAAAGTAAGTGGTGTTTTTCAGCATGCTTGAGTACATTTGATGGAAATTGGCTTGTTTCGCAATGTAAGAAAGCCAAGCCTCTTTTAATGGATAAAAGCAAAAGAAAATTGGAAATGGTTTTTAGGTCTGACTAAGCTAGTTTTATGATTTTGTATTTTAGAAATGGTTGAGGGCTGTACCGGACAGCCCCCGCCCCTGCCAAAAAAAAACCCCAAAACTGGTTGAATGTTTTAATGTTTTTTCAGTTATCAAGCTGTAAACTTTAAAAGGGGGTTGAGGGAGAATATGTTTAGGCGGGCAAAATTATAAAGCAGAAAATAGTGATTCATGAAAGTAATTACGGTATTTTTAGTCTCAAATGAGGCTGGAAGAAGGGAAATTGCATGTGAACAAAAATAAAAGTAATTCTGCAAAGGTGGGCCAGTTAGCTTAGTTGGTTAGAGCACTGTGTTATAACAGTAACATCAATGGTTCAGATCCATGTACCGGCCAGTCACCAAAAAATAATAATAATAATAATAATAATTTTCCTTTATCCCTAGCAACTTGAAAACAGTCTGAATGAATTTGGTGAAAAATGGGAGTTAAATCCTGGAGATGGAGCTTTCTATGGTCCAAAGGTCAGTACCAAAGTATATTTGGGTAATGTGATTTTCATTCGTGGGTAAAGAAGAAGTTACTTTAAAATAAGTTGATAGAGTGCAGTGCTGCTAAAACCAAAGTCAAGGGTTCAGATCCCTGTAACAGTCAGCTGCCTAAATAAACAAAAAAATAAGTTGAAAAGGAGGAGGACCAGCCATCAGCCCTGACCCAACTATTGAGCTCAGCTTTACTATTGACAGAATCTTATGATAACCCAGTCTTTGTTTCTTAGATTGACATACAAATTAAAGATGCAATTGGTCGGTACCACCAGTGTGCAACAATCCAGCTGGATTTTCAGTTGCCCATCAGATTTAATCTTACTTTTGTAAGGTGAGTTTCTAGTGTCTGCCATGAATATGCTTCTCCAGAGATATGTAAGGGAAAACATATATAATAAGGCAAAACAAATTATTTTTCTTTATAGCCATGATGGTGATGATAAGAAAAGGCCAGTGATTGTTCATCGAGCCATCTTGGGGTCAGTGGAAAGAATGATCGCTATCCTCACCGAAAACTATGGAGGCAAATGGTAATTTTTGTTATTGTTTTCTTTCTTTTTTTGTCTTATTGATATAGAAGAAATTTCTACTTTCCGATTTAGTTGTGAGATGGAAAGGGAGAATGATTTCAATTGATGACTTGTAACTGCTGACAAGTGTTCTCTAAAAAGTAAGGAATTACAATCTAAACCCAAATTTGTTAGCATTAAGAATACTTGTTATTAGAAATTATTTTTATTTCAGAACTTGATTTGTTTGAATGTTATGTAATACTTTCTAATTAAGAATTGTTATTCAGCAAGTAGCATATTTGTTGTTTTGATTGCTTTTCAAGTAACTTAACTTTGTTTTAGATTTATATGGCTTTGGTTGCCCAAGTTAAATGAGTATGCTTTTGGCTTACCTTGTTCAGCCTTGCTGATCATAATCAAGTATTTTGATGTCTTTTGGAAGACAAGCATTTTGTTTTTGTTTTTTCATTTGTTTGTTTTTGGGTGGCTGGCCAGTACGAGGATCCGAACCCCTGACCGTGGTCGTATAAGGCTGCACTCTAACCAACTGAGCAACCGACCAGCCCCCAAAGCATTTTTTAATTGAAAAAATTAAGCAGATGCCAGACTGATGAACATTTTGTGACTTGTTTCTATAAGGTTTTGTTTTTGTTGGCAAGATATGAGCATGTGAATGTGACTTCCATTTTATTTTTTAAGCAGTTTTATCTGATTCCACATGCAGTTGAAAGCAGCACAGGGTTATAAAACACCCAGTTGTAGAATCAGCCGTATTAATTATACTGATGTAAAACTTTTGTAAAATTTTATAAATCAGTTTAATGTTATCATTTCAGTTTTATTTGAATTTGGTTAGTTCAGACATTAAGGGGAATTTTCCATACTTGTCAATGAAATAAGATAATTTCTTTTCAGTTACATTTTACAAAACCAAATAAAACATGGGAAGTATTCTCTACATGGCATCCAGAGAATTAGGGGAATTCTCAGCTAATTGCTCTGCCAAACCTATGGCTGGTGAGAAAAAGCTCACAATTAGGGTAGAATTTAATGTCTACTCTAGCCTTTTGCCTGATGTCACAACACAACTGAAAATAGAGGAGTGATGGAGAGAAACATTGGCCTCATGTTTGCAGCATCAGGAGGGTTTGACACCGGAAATGCTCCAAGGGGAGAGTTGCAGATGGGGTTATTTTAAGCAGTGAAAACTCATTTTTACCAAGAGCCATCATCCTCAGTTATTATCAATTACAATTTGCTAAACCCTGCAAAACGGATCTTGAATAAACTGAAGGCACTGTCTATGTCTCTTATGAAGAATAGCTAATAAAATAATCTTGAACTGTTCATCACTGTGTGCAGTTATTTGGCAGTTTGTTAACTACTCTCACAGCCAATACATGGTTGTTTTTATTTTTTGTGTTACGTGTGAGGCCTGGTCCCTATCCTCAATTTGCTTTGCTATCTGCTTAGCAAGACAAATCTTAGTTCCAAATTTTTCTTATTTAGTGTTAGTTTTCTTCCTCTGAGTCTCCTCCCCTTAATCTTTATTGGATAGTTAAAAAAGAACAAGAAAAAAGCCAAGTTTTAAAAGTAGCCCTTACATGTTTCAGGGAAAGATACTGAAGGGAGAATAGACTACGGAATGTGCTGTTCTTGTTTAGTGAATGTGCCCAAATCCACATTAAATATTTTTATTTTCTCCTAAAGGCCTTTCTGGCTGTCTCCTCGCCAGGTAATGGTAGTTCCAGTGGGACCAACATGTGACGAATATGCCCAAAAGGTAATCCATACATATGACTTTTCTTTAAATTTAATATCTGTTGTTAAGCTTTTCAAATCTCATAAGCTGTATATTCTTGGTAAATTAAGCTGCTTGTGGTATAGAGATGTTACTCTTTTTAATCTGTGATAAGCCTGAATAGATTATATTACCTCTTTAATGTTTTTCTGTGTAGTTCCATGATCAGATGACATGTTCAGATTGTGTTTTGTGTATACACTTGCATATTTTAGTGTTTAGTATTTAAAAAAGACAAATGGCATATATTGAGTACCTCAGTATGATATGTAAATTAAAATGCAGAATACGGTTTAAACTCCTCTTTGAAAATTACTAAAAGTAATTTTACTTCATTTTTAATGCAAATTTTAGTTGTTTGAAACTTTTTTTCAGGTTAGTGACATGGCAGACATTAAAGTCTTGTCCCTCCTGGCAAAAAACTAACTTACTAACAAATATACAAATAGCCATTTATACTTCACACCATAAAGGCTGAACACACTTGGTTAGAGCATGGTGCTGATAACTCCAAGGTCAAGGTTCAAGTCTACTACACATCTAGGCTATATGGTAGAGCTTATTGCTCTGACCACTGTTGTATATATATGGTCCATCGTTGACCGAAATGTTTTTATGCAGCAAATGACTGTTTTTTCCTATACATACATCCCTATGATAAAGTTTAATTTATAAGTTAGGCATAGTAAAAGATTAACAGCCATAACTAATAATAAAATAGAACCATTATAATAATATACTATAATAAAAGTTATGTGAATGTGGTCTCTTTCTCAAAATATCTTATTGTATGTAATATTTTCAGACTGCAGATAAGGAGTCTATTGTATAGGTAAAGGTCACTTAATGTTGTTTCAAAAATATATTCCTCATGGACATAAACATTTGGCATACATAGATAGCCCTAAACCGGCATTTCAAAAATTAGTGGTTTATAAGTCATTTGGAATATTTTTCCATAGAAAGTTGAAAGAAATAATTGGGTACCTAGGTCACTTCAAGAAAGCTAATTTTACTGGTGGTTCTTAAGTAGAGGACTGATAGTTACTGTTTCACCTTCAGCTGTACTTAAGATACATCCATGGAAAAATTGATTCTGCATTCTGATCAGGACTTCCAGAAACTCTTGCCCTTCTCCTTAGTGGTCTGGGTGGAATTGTGATGGTGATTCTGCTTAGTAACTTCTGCGTCTGCAAAAAGAGTATACCAGTCACTGTCCATGGCTTTGAGTGAGAGCCAGGGGTACTGCCTCCATGGCAAAGGTGAGGAAGGAACACTGGCTTCCAACTTTCCTTGCCCCTCCTTTGGATTAGTGGCCACTGTAAAGAGACTTTTTTGAACCAGGTGTGGGGTGATTTAAATGCAAAATACCAAACTCTCAGAGCAGGTTGTTTAGGAATAGCAATATATTTTTTCATGTTCATTCATTATTAATTTGTTCTACTCTAAATTACTTTTTTATTTTAAACATAGTCAGGTGAAGCAGTGTGATAAATTTCCTTTAGACTATTAAATCTTTATTATTCCATTTTAAAGTTAAGGGAATCCGATAAAAGACAACTTTCTGATGCTTGGAAATTAATATTTATTCAATTGAAAATCGTTTCTTTGAGGGGCCGGCCTGTGGCTCACTCGGGAGAGCGTGATGCTGACAACACCAAGTCAAGGGTTAAGATCACCTTACTGGTCATCTTTAAAAAAAAAAAAAAAGAAAAGAAAATCGTTTCTTTGAAGTGTGGATCACATGTTTTTCATTTCTGCAGTCTGAGAATGCATTTCTGCATTTGAAATTAAAATGACTTATTTAGATCTTTTTGTTATGTTAATGGTAATTGGCTATCAAGTGGACGGAAAATTTAACCATCTATTTAATTTAAAATTAATAAAATTTATTCTATTGTATTGCTTTTTTGGAAAGGGAAGATTCTGAAAGCATTGTTTACTCAAAATACATAGACCTAAAGCAGTAAAGTGGAAATGGCATTTTTGAGAGGAAAAAAGGCCATGAATAATAAGATCTAACAGTTTTGTCAACTTAAATTTCTGGAAGTTTATTTCAGGAAATCCTGATTTAATCTTTGGCTATAACCTCCTCATCTGCCTCTTTCAATTAATAAGCTTTATTTTAATCAAAAAGGAAATCAGTCTCCAGAAAGAAAAAAATTACTTTTTAATACTTCTCAAACCTGATATTTTGTTTTATTTAAGTTATTCTTGTAGAGTTCAATATAGTTAGGTCATTGTATACACAGTTAATTAGTGTTAAGAAAAATTTTATTCTATTTTATTTTATTTATTTATTTTTAAAGATGACCAGTAAGGGGATCTTAACTCTTGACTTGGTGTGGTCAGCACCACGCTCTCCCAAGTGAGCAACAGTCCAGCCCTAAGAGAAATTTTATATGGCAGTTTATATTTTGTTCTCTGGGAACAGAAAAGAAGCTGTTGGGATGATTTTAGCCTATTGTTTGTGCTATCTATGTTTTATTTTAAAAAATACTGCACACATAAATGGCAGCAATGGGTGGATTCCTGTTACTAACTTGCTGCCTATTTGTGGGATCAGAAGTGTATTCTCTGTTAGACTGGAAAATCCATCACTGAATGTTATATAAAGGCTGAGAAACTATTTCCTGGCAACTATTTCAGACATATTTCAAACATATTGAGATATGTTAGCAAAGGGATTTTTTTCCCCTTTTGTAATGTATGTTTTAAGAGAGCTGATTAAATTTAGTCGATTGCTTGAATTTCTGATTTTTAAGGATTTTCTAAAACAGTTGTCTTTCAAGAACAAAATTTGTTGTTTTGATTTTTTAAAATATAGACCCAAGTCACATATTAGTAATATGTACTTGAATATATCTGTTAGCATTCCTTTTTTACTACTAGTACGGTTATCCAAATCCTATTTTAAATAAAATCATTTAAAGCTGATAACACCAAGGTTAGCCCCACCTCCCCAAGTAAATAAATAAATAAACAAAATCATTTAAGATCAAAATATAATTCTT